GCTGCACGAACACATTGGCAAACAGTACCGGTGAGCAAATCAAAGTACTGTAGAATGTCCTGGAAACTCTCCTGATTTAAATTCAATCGAGAATCTATGGTCAATCTACAAGGAACGACTTCGTGGAATGGTCATAAGAAGTACTAACATTTGCACTGGGTTATATTTCCCTGGAAAATACAAAAAAATGTAAATAATAACGGAATTATTATTTTTTTTTTCAATTAATTTGCGCAAGGGTGTATTTGCCGATATAATTTCAACTTATAGAGGGTGCGGCAGATATATATCCCACATTTTAAAGACTAATATAACTGCTATTAAAACAAAATTTCACTGTTGTCTAAACAAAGGTCTTCCGTTTTTATTAATTCCGTTTGAAAAATAGCACCTCAAAAGTGTGACCTCTATTCATCATAAACTTTTGAAGGCGATTTCTAAAATTTTCCACGAACTAAAGAATCATTTCTGACGTTGTTTCTGCTACTTTTAGCGAATAACACCCTTTAATCATTCAATGCTTGCTGGTCGATATTTTGTAAACTTCAGCTTTCATGTAACTCTAGAGAAAATAACCACAGGGCACGAGATCAGGCGATCATGCTGACCAGGTCAATGCGTAAGGAAATCAGATGTCCTGGAACCATCTCTCTCATAGTTTCCATTGATATCGCTCTCTGGGTGGTGGCTCCATTCTGTTGAAACTACACACCCAGACTTTTAAGGTCTCTGAAGCTAGGTTCCAGAAATGTCTGGGGCATCTCTACGTACCGGTCAGATGTTAATGTAATCGAGAGATTTCCCTCCTCAAAAAGGTACACCAAATTTCGCAACTGCGCATCGCTCATAACTCGTTCGCTATGAAGCTGATTAGTGACGCAATTAGAGAGATGAATGTGGGCTTCATCACTTGTGAGAAGAACAGCATTTGTTCGGGAATCAATACCTCAATCTGTTTGATTCGTACCTCAAATCTTATTCCTTCAGAAACTGTGAATGTACTTTTAATAATTTCATCTGGGTTATCTCGGACATACAAAAGATTTCTACTCGGTGGGCCTCATGAGAAATATCTTAGAAAGGCGCTGAATGAAAGTTGTTTATTTGAATAAGATTTTAGCTTTTAGTTTTAAAAAAAATCTGTTCTCTTTTTTACCTAGAATTACACAAATTCCTTTGCAACCTGAATTTCTACTTCAGTTCCTCAACCAAAATCCAATATTTGCAGGAATATAAATGAAAATCCAAATTTTACATACAATTTTTGGTTATGTTTCTTGTAACGATTTATTAAGCATAGCTTCCAAGTAGTGTAATGGTGTACCTCGATGTGGTGTAATGATTAGAAAGTTTTTCTCGCAATTACGACGTTCGATCTTGTGCCACACCTAAGCTACGCTCAGAAAATTTCCATTACATCAAGTCAAAGTACCCATGTTACCTGTGATATGCCGGGTAGGATTTTAAATAACCATATAAAACTTTCAGTGACCTTACTATTAAATATATAGTGACAGATTAACGACTATACATAAAAAAAACAAATACCCCAAATATCCATGGTACACTTAGACTGTGATCGATGCAATCGATATAATTATTTTCTTTTATCTTTACGAGAAAAATGATAAAAATATTAACTTCAGACATATGTCGAGAAGATGGAAACTGTCGATTTTTCTTCTTTGAACAGAAAAATGTATTATAATTCACTTATGGGTAGTGTTGTATTAGCAGAAAGAAAGCAATTGTCACTCACAGGGTGATTAATCGATGGAAATGCTGTAGTAGTGTTTGCACTTGAAAGGATAATATGAACGAACTAAATTTTGCAACATTTTACCTTAAATCTGTTGCAGAAATCTTTGGCAGACAATCTGTGTATCGAAAATAAGCAAAAAAAAGTTTGTCGGTGGTCAGACATTAATGTAATCTTCACTGATAGGCAGAATAAGCATATCATTTCTATAATATTATTACTGGTTTCATAGTTCCGGAGGCTGGAAGATTACCAAAGTAGTAAAACCTTCTAATTATCTTGATATTACGAAGAATATTTACTCTTTAACGTGGCGTTTCGTAGCGCATTATATAAGTGTATCAAGAACGAGTGTTGTCTGATGTCCAATCTGGTCGCTTACTGTTAAGGAACATTTCTTGCCGCCAAAAGAACTGTACTTATATAAATTCTTCATCAAAATTGCTAAATTTTTGTTTTCAGAGAATCAGTTTTTTGCTTTTTTTCTTTCCCATGGAAAAATTTGGTAAAATTTCTAAAGATGCAGAAACCTATTTAAGGATTGAAATAATAAAATGATATACTAAATTTCCAGAGAGGATTTTAAATTTTCATTATAGATTTATTCTAATTGAAAAAAGCACCAAAAAAAAAAAACACTTATTTATTCACGATCACTGAAGTTAAGCAACGTCAAGTCTGGTCACTCACCTATATGGGTGACGTCATAGAAATACCAGGTGCTGAAAGCATGGATGTGCGGATGGTGTAATGGATAATTGGTCAGGTAAAGGTATGAATCTGTCTATTCTCCCCCAGTAATGTACAACCGGAAAAAAAAAACTTTTCTGGCTTTAAATAACCTGAAAAGGGTTGATAAACCGTAAAAAACGAATGAATCTATCAAATACAAAAAAAAATATTTGGACACAATTTTACATTTGGTCCCAAATTCAGCAAATTTTCTTACACAACGTTTACTGCGCACGCACACACACACACACACACACACACACACACACACATACAAACACTCACAAACAACACATATATTCACACAGGTTTATCTCCACATGGTGATTGAAAAATAACTCCCTATTTTATGTATGATGGACTCTCCCGTTTTACAAGACAGGGGATTCCATTATATACAAAAAAAAAAGAAGTTGCTTTTTAATCACCTTGTATATATACACACGGAAGTACATCAGAAGCCTAGAATAATTTAGGGTACACAATAATTATTTATTGTACAACATAATCTTTTTCATTATGAATATATTCGGTTGTGAATATAAAACAAATGTTTGGACATTATAAAGTTTAAATCTCAGATCAATTTTAAGTCAATAATTATGAATGAAAGTGAGGATTAATTCAACCTCGTGTATGTTTGTTTTGTGGTGCTTTTATTTATTTAGTGAATGTAGACAAAGTAGTAACTCAAGTAGGTGAGTCGG